GTGTCCCTGCTCATGGCAGGGAGGTTGGAACCTGATGATCTTTAAGGTCTCTTCCAACCTTAACCATTCCATGATTCTATGACTTTGAGGAATCCTTCTCCCCAAGGAGGAAGGAGCATCAGAACAACCAAACCACCTTCTCTGTCCCCCTGTGCTGCTAGGGGGGAAGGAGGCAGTGAAATGGGGAACAAGTTGAGTCTATTTTGCTGTGGCCTTAATCAGTGAAGAACCTTCCTTGTCCTTGTCTCAACCCCTGAGCTTGTAACTGGCCTTTGTCCTCCCCATCCCAGTGTGTGGGGGGGTGAGTGAGCAGCCACGTGGCTGGTTCTTCATTGTCGTGGCCTAGAGCACAAGGGGGGTCACCCTGCTGCCCCCCTGCTCACCTCGCACCTCCCCGGAGCAGCTGTAGACCCCCAGGGACAGGGCTTTGCGGCGGAAGGCGTTGAGGAGGGTCCAGGGGTCAAACCAGCCTTCGTTCTCCAAACCTGGTAGAAGACACGTGTGACACCCCTGCCCTCCCCCAAAAAATCCCCCCAATTTAGGAAGGACTGGATCGCCCCCCCTTTCTCAAAGTGAGGATGAAGAATGCACTGAGGGGATGGGGATGCTGGGGGGGGTCTCCACACCCCACCATGCACCCCCCCCACCTCAGTGTACCCCCAACCCTTTACCATAGGACCCCACGGCCACGTCCTGCGTGTTCATCCATGGGAATTTTTCCTTCAGCTGGGTGGGGGACATCAGGGCCACCTGTGCCCCTTCCTCCCTGGGGACAGCACACGGAGGGAGAGGGGGTCAAGATGAGACAACACTGCCCCCCGAAAAACCACGACACTCCCCCCCTCCCATGTGTTTGTCCCCCACCTCTGGAGCTGCACAGTGGCCTCCAGCGCAGCAGCGTCCTTCGGAGAGGCGAGGAAGAGGTATCCCGAGGGCTGGAACTGGATGTCAATGGGGGGCTCGTTTGGGACCCCCAGGTGCTCCTGCGAAGGGGGGGGACATCAGTAAGCACGGCTGGACTCCCCCCCC